TGTTGAGTGTTTAGTTTTTCTGAAATTTTTTTTTTTTTTTTTCATCGCGCACAAAATCGACAGCCGTGACCTCTTCACTTCCCAACACCTCTTCCCCCATAAGCCGAGAGTGCGATATCGCTACACGCCGTCTCATTAGTCGACATGATTAGTTAACTTGGCCCCAGGCTCAACTTAGTTTTGTTCATACTACCGACGCAGGGGGGACCAGTTTAGATAGATCTAGTAACTGGATATTAAAGCTCACGTCTCAATTGTTATCATTATAATCGAAAAAAATGTTAATAAATGCTGGAAACATTTAGAAACAAGGGTCGGAAGTCGGAACAGACATCATACTGGACTCAAATCAAAGTCCATTTTTGTCTATTCGGACTCGAATAGTCACTTTGATTAGTTTGTTATTGTAACCCTGACTTCCAGTTACTTCCATTCAGTTTCGGTTTGACTTTGGAGAGTGAAACTAAATTACACACTGGACGACAACAAAACATAACAAAACTCAAGGGTAAGAATAGTAAGATCTATAGAATGTGCAACCAAGCGGATCGATAAAAAGCGCTGCGGGATCCGCTGATCAACAGAAAGCGCAACAATCGATGGATTTTCGCGCGTTTCCTCGATCAACCCAATGCCCTGCGCGATTGATGGATCGCGCAAATCGACAGATAGCGCCCAACATAGACATTGTCTTTCACTTTCTAAAGCACAAGAAGCAGAGCACCAGCATGGTAAACAAGATGTGGTTCTTGTTTTTTTTAATGCAAATATTGTTGTGGATTTAAGTTGAATAAGCTATCAAGTTATTTAGATCTAGCTGTTATACTATTATAAGGATTCCAGGGCCTAGATCTACACATTATCATGGTGCAATCCAACACACAAGAAGCTGAAAAGGGTTGAACATTAACTGTCAAGTTTTATAGATCTAGCTGTTATAACTGTTATGGATATGCAGTATTGGTACAAGGGAGAAAGCATAGCCTTGGATTTATATGGATTATTACAAACAGAAAATTATGTGCAAGGTGTGTTTTTTTCTCACTTATAAATTTTCTTGTTCAATTTAGGCTTGAATAGCCAGAAATGGCATACTTAGGATTCCCTGAAACAAAAAAAAATCAGAAACACAAGCGTCCCCCTAAAACCCCCTGCCAGGCCACTACCCTGGACCCGAAAATCCTCGAAAACTAACATCAGCTGCTGGAAGCTGTGATTTCTGCCAAATGTAGCCTAGAAATACATTGAGCAACATGTTAAGTGTAAAAAATTAAAGTGTCTGGAATTTGTTGTTTGAGTTATTTTGTAAATATTATGTCATTGGTGGTATTTATCAATGTGCAAAATGTTCTTTCAGGTACAACCATGAATCCCGAAAAATTAAAGCAACTTCAAGCAAAAGCAGACGCTGTCCGCATTGGCGGCAAGGTACGTAGCTTTCATGATAGTCATTTATTATTATAATTTTAGTGTTTTGCTCATTCTAACTGGTGTTTTGCATTGGCAGTTTTGTCTTTCTGAAACTTGTCAAATGCGGTCAAGCAATTGCTGTTTCATTTTTTGTCATCAATTTTAATTTTGCATAACAAACTTTTTCCTTTTGTTTATATCAAGGGATCTGCAAGGAGAAAGAAGAAGGTCATTCATCGCACTGCCACCACAGATGGAAAGAAAATAGAAATCTCTTTAAAGAAGTTGTCTGTTAACAGTATTCCGGGTATTGAGGAGGTAAGAGACGCTTGTTGGCTACAAATGTTGACTTTTTTTTTTTTTAGGTTGGGTTGGGGTTTTTATTTTCATCTTTCAAACATGAATGAGAAGCAAGTTCACTCTTTTACTGTAAACTGTCTAAATTTTTGTTTTATTTTGAAAATGTTTAAAGAGGCCTTCAGTCATTTTTATGCAAGGTTTTCTTCAGTATCAAAGTACTGATGCTCTATTGCCTATTGGGCGAGTTCTTTGTTTTGTTTTTGTAAGTGTTTTACAGCGCTCGCAACTGCATAAGGTCATATGAGCACGCGGGACACGTTAAACTTTTTCAGTTGGTAGGGAATTTTGAATTTTGCCCCAGTGGTGGCCGAAGCCTACTCTTATCGATTTTAGACCACCAAGGGATCTTTAACCTGCTCAACTTGCACAGATCTTTCGCCCTTTTCCGAGAAGGCTAGGTGTAGATCTTTTCCTACCAGAAGATCAGGAGTGTGGCTGAAAGACAGCAGTAAGAAGAAGCCAAAGAGTAGCAGTAGGAAGGCTGTAGAAGGAATCAGGAGCCCAGAGGAGGGGGGCAAAGGAGATGAGGGAGTGGGGGCAGAAAGCAGACGACAGAACATTGCTAGAGAGCAGGAAAGGAGGTGAAAGGAGACAAATTTAGAGAATTAAATTTTTCGGTCACTACCTGGATTCGAACCCGGGACCTTTGAATGAGAGGCCAACACCTTAACCTCTAGGCCATGAGAGCCCCCAGTTCTTTGTTATTCAGTTCTGTTTGGTTGGTGCTTGATCACACACTTTCCAGGTACCTTGTGACCTAGTGGTTTCTCTCCTAGTCTAGAAATACTTTTTTGGTTTTACTGTCAGTGTTGTTTCATAATGTCAATGTCAGTAAATAAAAAGTGTTTTTGTTATGCACACATATCTTTGTCACTGCTGTCACACTCCCTTCAAAAGCAGTCGAATAAGCAAGGGAGACCTGCTCTTGCACATGACCACTTGTACCACATTCAGGTTGAATTTTATTGTCATTGAATTAAATTGTTGCCAAGGTTCCATGAAAAGTTCCAATAAATGTCAGCAAATCTTTCCTTATGGGTGTTGCATGGGGGGTATGATTTACTTGTCGTTGTTTGTTTTACTACAGGGTGTGAAGCGTGACTTGTTGGGTTTGTTTTTGAAAGCTTCAGTCTTTTTTTGTGGATAATTTATTCTTACAGAGGGTTTTTATGTTTTCCCTTCCAGGTTAACATGATTAAAGAGGATGGACAAGTCATTCACTTCAACAACCCTAAAGTCCAGGCATCTTTGGCTGCTAACACATTTGCAATCACTGGTCATGCTGAGAACAAACGTAAGGAGAGCCATGCTAATGTTTTTCAAATTCTTTAACAAAAAGAATTCTTTGGACTTGAAATACACAGTTACATTTGCAGAGAATGTAATAAGTTTGTGTTTTTGAATATTGTAGTGTTTACTGTATCCCTATTTTAGTGTAGAAAGTCTGTTCTTTTCTCTGATTAGATTTGCTCTGACATTCTAGTTTTTTAATTGGACATGTGATTATTCTTATAATAAATACGTCTTTGGTAATGGAAGTTATAACCTGTTCATTGACATTTGGATTAGTTGGAAGTTAGTTGGTGTTTGTTTTTTTAGTGGGGGGGTGAATGATTCTTTTCCATTGGGTCAGTGGATGGTTGGTGGGAACTCTGTATTGTATCTTTGTATCTTTATTTTTCCCCCTTCTTTTGTGTCCCTGGTGAGATATGGCAATCACTGTGCTGGGCTGGCCTGGTGTAGGGGCAACTCAACATGAGCCTAGGAGAATATTAAAATATGTCTCGATGATGATAATTTTTAGCCTATGAAATATTTTCCCTTACCATCTTCAATGTGGACTTCTTGAAACCCAAAAATGACTTGAAAAAACTTGATCATTTCAGTACTCTCCCATAGTGGTATTTTTAATTTTAACATCCTGTTACCATGTGTATAGACCATTTTTATGGAGGTGGTCAGGAGACCTATCTTGGGTACTCCTCTCAGACCCTACCCCTATTAGTAGAAGTACTTCTGAGGGTCATTGTGTTTCTGTTGTTTTCTCTGAATCTAGTTTAAAGTTGGCATGTGTGTTTCTATGGTCAGTCTTGCTCCTTGTGACAATTTGTTTTTTGATTGTTTTTTTGTTGTTGTTGCCATTCATGCATCTTGTCTGGTGGTGAAATATGTCATTTGAAAATACATTTTCAGAAATTGCTGAAATGCTGCCAGGGATCTTAAATCAGTTGGGAGCTGAGAGCTTGAGCAGCTTGAAAAAGCTTGCTTCAACAGTGGCCAGTGGTGAGTTTTGCCTCTCTTTTGATAATTTTGTTTGTACAAATGGAGAGTTTTGATAGAAAATATGTCATGGTGTGGCATAGGAAGAAATGAGACTATTTCAAAGTTGTGGGTAGTGTGTATAAAATATTTCCTGATAGGAGACATTTATATGAAACAATTTTAGACAAGAGTAAGATTGATGTTATTTGACATTAATTTGATGGCTCTTTGAGCCGCCAGAGATTATTTGGTACCATGCTTGAGAATTGAAACTCAAAAATTTAATTTGTCTACAATTATGACTCTGACTTGCTCTTTGGTTGCTCCTACTATTACTATGTAATAAGACAAAAATATAAAGTTTTGCGGTTGCTCACTTTTACAGTTATTATCATTTCTCTAACACTAATACTAATAGACGAAAGGTAATCCTATCTGACTCGTCTTGCATCACTTCACTTGCAAACTACACACTGTTACAACCGAAAATATTTAGGTTACAACAAAAAAATACATGTTTTGGCTGAATCCGGGAAAAGTCGTGTAGGTAGCCATGCGGGCATCTGAGGAAACAAGCAAGTGGATCTCCCGGCGAAGGATTCCTTGTCCCTTCTGTTAGGATCAACGATGAACACTCTCCCACAGACTGACTTTAAAAATAAAGTAAAAAACTACACCTCCAGTCTGTGGGAGACTTATTGGAAAAAAGAAAATAATAAATTACACAACATCAAGCCCAAACTGGGTCCGCGAAAACCTTCGGGCCTCTCCAGAAGAGACAAGTCATTTTTACTTGATTACGCATCGGACACACGTCCCTGACACACAAATACCTCCTTCAGGAAGAAGAGAAGCCGTTTTGTGTCATTTTAACAGTATGTCTAGACTTCGGAGAGACCCGGAGGAAATATTTTAGATTTAAAAAATTGCAAGACGTGTTTTCCGTCGTTGATCCCAATAGAATTCTTGATTTTATAAAGGCCATTGGCCTTTATGGAAAATTGTGATTTACATGATTAAAAATTTTACTTGTTATTTTAAAAAATATTTTAAATTAAGAATTTATTTGCACCAAATATTTTGTATTTTAGCATTTTAATAGAGGTGTTGACAAGAATTGGGCTGTGCAGTGAACTGTTGTGAATAGAACCAACTTTTTTTTTGTGCGCTCATATGACCTTATGCAGTTGCGAGCGCTGTAAAACTCTAACTGAAACAAAAGAAATGAGAAAAGTAATGTGATTGTGTCCTATTCATTTGACCCACGAAATACTGTTTTTAACTTTCAGCTGCTAGCGATGGCAACAAACAGACAACCGCAGATGTGGATGATGATGATGAAGTCCCAGGTATGTGCTTTTGGTTTTCCTTGTTTGTTTGCTTGAGTAAAGAGAGGCACATCAATGCAATAATAGTCTTTTAGTGCTGGGGGAAAGTACAACCAGACAGACAGAATCAACAGAGGGAAAGTAAAGAGGTAGGACCTTTCAGTGGCGCCCTCTAACCAACTCTACAGTGCAACCTCTCTCGTTGGGACCAGAAAAAATGTCGTTATAGAGAGGCAACCAAAAATTACCAATTATATATAAGGAAAAAAATCTGGACCAGGGCACCCTGTCGCTATACAGAGGATGTCGTTATATCGAAGGTCGTTATAGAGAGGCTGCACTGTATGGCAAGTTTATACTGACCTTAGAGTGCAAGGATTTAGGCAGATTTTTGCAATTTTTAACACCCCCCCCCCCCCCACAAAAAAAAGTCTATGAGTGGTGCGCCTGAGCTCCTTCAGGTCAATGGTAGATTTCTATGGTGGTATGCTGAGCTATGAAGACTAAAGGAAGTAGAGGCTCATACATGTGCTAGGGGCTGCAAAGTCAAAGCATTTCCTGGTTGGCTTGAGCTGATGGTTCTCCAGGACTGGCTCATCCGATAGGTTTTTAAAATGATTTTCCAAGGGCAAGTGGTTTTCAAATATTTTGCACTGAAAGAGGGACTTGCATTTTTTCTTGTTACTGTAATTAGTTTTGAGTGCTTAACAGTAAGGAATGAATTCATTGAATTTCAGTTAAAATGTCAGTATGGGCAAGGAAGAATCTTTCAACTCCATGTAATGTGAAATAACCTTGCCTGTTTCCCTTTTTCCTTTTGAAGATTCCACATAATGCAAGGAATTATTTTGGAGCAGAGTCAAAGGAACTGTTGGTGACTATTAGATGAATGGTTCAAAGAATCTTTTACATTTGTTTGAATGTTCAGTGAATGATTTATTTGAAGACAACCATGTTTTTGGTAGAAATGCTGTGTGTTGCTGATACGACCACTGTCTGGTCTGTTGGCCGAAAATGATGACAATGATAGTGTCTACTCCCATGTGAACATAGCTCTAGGTGCTTTACTATAATAGGAGTACAAATTTAAAAATTAACACTACAAAAATGTATTGTTGCTCATATGCGCACCCAAGAAATGCGCACGCGCGGATACACACACACACACACTGTAAAAATATTGTTGTTGTGTTTTGTGGCTTGTGATTTGACTTGTTTCCCTCCCTTTCTTGTTTTGCAGAACTGGTTGAAAACTTCGACGAAGCATCAAAAGATGAGGATGTCTGATGTGGGGAGAGCTGGCGTAACCAGACGCATTCGAGTGCTTTCACGTGGTTGCCCGCAGCTCCCCAAAGTGTACAGTTTTTCTAATCTAATATTAAGATACACTGGATCCATCATCACTGAAGTGTGCCCGCTTCTGAAGTGTTTCTCTCCATCGTTTGTTAATGTGGCCAGAGCATGGTCTGGTTGGTTGGTTTGATTGTGATGAGAGAGGATTATCAAACTGTAGCAAGTGCTTGGGTTGTAATATTAATAAAGCTATCTCCATTTTCATTTTCTAGAGAGTTTTTACTCCATATTTTTATTTTTTTCATACGTCTGTGTGGATGATGTAACATTTTGTGTGCCCTTCTAATCTATACTGCTGGAACAGAACCGAATCAAAAATGTGTTGAGTAATTTGTGTTGTTTGTTCCGGTTTATTTCATGTGGTTGTAACGACATCTCTGTGTTACTGGCAATAAGAGTGGGAGGTTGGGGAGCGTCATTAGTATTAATACGTCCTTTTCTTCTTTTTTTTTGTTCATGGGTTCTTTCTGTGTGTACGTCTTTTTTTTTTGTTTTTGTTTTGTTCATGGGTTCTTTCTGTGTGTCTCTCCAGCTTTTTCCTCGACTAACTGGCTATTATTGTGTTGATCCGCTTCTTTTCCCTCAACTATCTCACCGTTCACAGTACCCAAACGTCTTGGCAAAGCTCAGGTGGTTAGTTAAGTCAGGAATCTTATCATTAAGTATAGCCTTCTATTGTGCGAGAATAAACCGCGAGTGTGCTGTTGAAAGTTGGGATGAATGGTTGTTTGTCTCCTAATTCAGTTCTCAGCATTGAATTTAAAGTAAAGATCGCCTCTCCCTTACACAAACACCCGATGTCTCTTGGATGGATGCCATTGATGTACGAGGTGAAACTGTAGATCTGAATGCTCACTATTGTCTGTCGGGACTTTTTCATCAAAACCAAGGGAGTGAAAGTGGGTTGTCTTCTTTGGATGGGACGTTGACTGCACAGCTTTTTGCTCAGTTCTGAACTGAACATTCTTCACCTTGTATCAGTCATTGAAAATATTATGTCACGTTGGTGCCCACACTATACTACTATGTGCTGCATGAGGTTTGATCGAATAAATTGACCAGAGCATCATCTTGGTGCGTCTGTGTCCACAACTTTCACTTTGACATTCAGAATCCAATTGTGATGCTAATAAATAATAAATAGCTTTTGCATTTAACGCATTATATCCCTACTCAACAGCAAACTCAGCGTTTAGTGGGTGGTTGGCGGGTGCTCTGGTGTGGTTTGCTCCTTCTTTCCTGTCAAACATCTGTCGTCTTTATCTCCCCTCCTTCTTTTTCGTGTGTTACTCTCTTGTAACACGTAATCTATTCTTCGGCACTTGTATGACCTTTTTGTGTTGCAAGTGCCGTAAAACTCTTACTAAAACTAAACTCAGCGTTTTACAATCTACCTATATTATTATCTCAGCAAACCCAATGAACACTCCTCAGCTTCTCGGGAAGCATACTGTTCACATGGTGCTCAACAAACTGGCAAGATGTACACTCTATAGCTGGGTAAAGGTACCCATTCCTGCTCGTTTAAAGTGGTGACCATTTTGTATAAAGTGCCTTACCGTTGCACATAACGCCAGGCCCGTGACGTGATTTGACCCATGACCTTTCATTTGTGAACCCAACAGCCTAACCAGTGGACAACTTATGCCACTTCCACTCAATGCATTGTTCACGTCAACAACAATAACAAATGTGGGTGGTTGACGGGTGTTCTGGTGTGGTTTGCTACTTTTTTCCTATCAAACATCTATCGTCCTTATCTCCCCTCCTTCTTTTTTTATGTTTGTTACTCTCTTGTAACACCTCTAATCTTCTGGCGCTCATATGACCTTATGCAGTTGTGAGTGCTGTAAAACCTCTACTAAAACTAAACTGACAATAACAAATGTGGGTGGTTGGCGGGTGTTTTGGTGTGGTTTGCTTCTTCTTTCCTATCAAACATCTATCGTCCTTATCTCTCCTCTTTTTTTGTGTTTGTTACTCCCTTCTAATTGTAACACCTCTAACCTTCGGCAGTTATATATGACCTTATTGTGTTGCAAGTGCCGTAAAACACAAAAAAAACCCCCCCAAAAAAACCCAAAAGCAATAACAAAACAGGAGACTATTACTATTATTATTAACATGCAGCCATTCAACATGAATTGAAAATACTGTTCACACTAAAGAACTTCAAATGACCAGGGGTTTTTATGTGCATTGTTAGTTAGTAACTTCCCTTCTTCATACGAAATCTGCTTAACATTAAAATATGAAAAAATTATCTGGTCTCTTGAAGTTCGTGTTAGTTATCATTATCAGGGTTTCACTTCACCGTATCCGCAAATACTTTGGGCTAGAGCAGGGTTAAAAATGATAGGGAATGTGCATCATGACTTGTGTCCATGTGCTTTTCTTTAAACTCCATCAAACTATCAGTGGAGACTGGATCATCTGTGGTGCTGGACCAGTGTGTTTGCTGTAGAACACAGCTATTATTACTGTTTTCATCTGACTGTAAGCCAACTTTTTAAAAAGAACAACAGAAGAAGAATCCACTTTAACTAATGACTCAAGTTATATATATTCTTAATCTGATGGACCGCCAGATTTTCTTTGGTTTAGAGAGAAGGAAAAATCTGGGATTTTCTTTTCTTTCGGTTTGGTTTACTGCTGTTTTCAATTTAAGTATGTAGACTCCACTCCACTGTTCTGCCGTCATTTAAGAAAATTCAGTAATATGCAGTTTTTATAATTTAACAGGAGAGCCAAAAAAACCAGAATGTTGTTCATGTACCAATGAAATGTTTGCTTTAAAATATAAGGAAGTTATCAAACTTGTATTCTTAAAAGTATTGACTTGGGATGTTTGCAAAGAGTTTGTTTTCTCGGTAAGGATATTGTTTTTTTTGCTCTCCTGTAAAATTGTAAAGACTGCATATACTGTATTTGAAAAAATGATGCCAGTGTACATGTTCAAAGATTTTCCTTTGTTGTAGATGCAAAGACCAAATTTGGCAATAGCCAAAGAATCACAAAGATCTATTTTGCACTTAATATTTCCCAGATCAATCTGATCTTGATGGAATTGGATTAACTAGACCTAATAGTATTCCAACCAAGTAGGCCTACTGGTCTGGTACACTTGAAATTACATGTAATGAAATTGTCCTAGAAGTAGAAGGCCAACAAATTTCAAAGAAAAAATTGGTTGTCTTTGTGTGAGGCCACATTTCAATTTAATTTCACAAGTGAGAGCTAAGCAAACGATGCCATCATGAGCAATAAACTTGGGGGGTGGCCAAATTACTAAACTATGAGCTGCTTTACTCAAGCGGGAAGTAAGCGGCAAGCTGAGGTGAAAACTGGCCCATGGGTCAGAAACATGATTCAAGAGACAAGGTGAGTAATTTCTGGGACTCACTAAAAGTAGTAAAAAGTGAGTCACTTTCAGCACGAGGCGATGTGTAGTATCTAAACATCCAGGGGGTGAAATCTGCAAACACTGAAAGAAATGTGGGGACAGGATGGTGTCGCTGTCTCAAAATGAGCCAGGCCAAATGAGAAGAAACAGGTATAGTCTCGCTTAAAATCAAAGCTATCGAGATTCTCACGGGACCCGCTCATAGTACCGTATGGCTAATTAAACAGAAATATCTGTTTATATTTGTTCTTATTCCCGCTCTCTCTCTTGTAATGTGGCCTCGGCCTTAAACTTAGACAGGTGGACATCTCGGACAGTGTCATAATATAAAACTGTCCCCGTCGTTTTATGTAAGAAAAATTATGAAATTATTCTGAGCCCAAAAATGTGAAATTATGCGATTCTGTTAATTTTAACAAAGAATGATAAAGGAAAATAAGAAATTATGCAAAAAATGATCAAATTTTGCTAAATTATGCGGGGTGCATAAAACCGTGGGGACATAAAAACAAAGATGCTGGTTATATTATATAAAAGGTTTTTGGGTGACTATTAAATGTCGGGCCTATATCGCACCTAGACAAATCTGTGTTTAGACAAAGGGAGTTGTGAACAATGGAGTAATATGAACCCTACCGCACTACTTAGACTTAGACACTACATTTTAGTCGTGAAAATGAAAAGTTGTGACCAGCCACAAACCGAGTTCGACAAATCTCGACTGAGCCAGTAAGAGAATAGAGCAGTGTGCCGCACTAAGAATAAAGATAAAACTGCCCTGAAGTTTTACGACACGCAGAGTTGCATACACCTACACATACTTACATCCGGGCGTGTTTTGACGACAGGCAGAGTTGCATACACCTACACATACTTACATCCGGTCGTGTTTTGACGACACGCCGAGTTCCATACACTATACACCTACACACATACTTACGTTGTGTTTTGACGACTCGCCGAGTTCTTTTCACCAACACATGCATCTCATTGTTTTTATGCCAAACTACATTCTGTGCACATCGAGCAAGGACCATCAGCAAATATTTAAAAAATTAATCATTGATGTTGATGTCAATTGGACTGAGACATAATATTAGTAAGGGCAGTTGAAAGCAAACCGTTGCTGTGCAATAAAGCTTTGAAAGATTATTCTATAACAGATAAAACTGCCTTTTTTATTAAGTAATCGCTGACTGGTAAGTGGATGAATCCAAAATTGTCTTTTTATGTTTCTTCCGTCTGATTGAAAACATTAGAGCACATACTATCTCTGACAATTTCATGTTCAAAATAACTTGTTCATATCAAAGTCTTAAGATGCGGTACGGCTCAATTGGAAGTTAAATTCCGCAACAAAACTGACCAAAAGGTCTAACGACAGATTTGTCCAGGTGTGGAATAGGCCTCAGCGCTTGACAGGAATTGGTTAACAACAGCAAAATTTTCTTTTTTATGTTTGTTACTCTCTTGTAACACCTCTAATCTTCTGGCGCTCATATGACCTTATTTTATGCAGTTGCGAGCGCCATAAAACCTCTACTAAAAAAAGAACAAAACTGCCAGGTTTCCAAAATTTTATTTGGCGGTGTAGATTCAGTATCTGCAATGTATGAGTATGTATAGTAATGGAGAGAAAAACTGAATATATACACATATAATGGACATTGAGTAAATGGAAAACATTAAAATTTGGCGGACAGATGAGAAATTGACGGCAGAAACTGTGGAAGCTAGCAGAATGCAGCTAATATGTAAAAAGAAAGAGAAAACTTGATTCATTATGATGAACCTTTCTTTAGACTTGAAACTATCATCAAGTCCAGATACTTGTCTTGCATCTGTGTGTGTGTGTGTGTAAAATATAAAGTTGGTAAAATGTGTTATGTGACGTAGAACTGCACACTTTTGTCCTTTCTTTCAATGAATAAGAACAGTCGAAAGGTAAAGTATACAGGATGATTGGTGCCCTTGTGATAAGACCAGCTAAACCTAAAAATATGTGTCATAACGTGGTGGAATCAGGCGCTCGTCAATTTTGAGGCACAAGGAGTTTTTGGTTTCAACTAAAAAAAAAACGCTTGTTCATTTGTTTTGCTTTCGATGAAAAAAACCCAACCTATTTATTTATCTTGAATGGAAGATATTTACGATTGAATGAGGCGGGGGTTGCCTAGTTTCAGAGGTAAAATTAGCGAAACATGGCTGCCAAAGTTAAGTGACTTCCAGACATTGAGAGTTCTTGGAAACTAAATTTACTTTTTTGTGCCTTTATTTAACTAACCTTCTTCAGTAAATTCCTCACACTCACAAGAATGTTACAAGGACATGAAAGTTAATGAGCCAAAGAACCCCCAGAAAATTCAAATTCAATAAAAATTGCTGAATGGGCAGAAAAATGCCAGTTTCTTCGATTTCATTATTTTGACGAGTGCCTGATTTTCCTATGATTACTATGATGGCTCACAATCTCACATTTACATTTTTTAAAAATCTGATGAATCATCACATGTAGTAAATTATCCATTTCACATGCTCAGTCAAAGACAGGTCTGAATTATTTTGACTAGACAGAAATGAAGTTGAACAAGCCACCTGCTGCAGCCAGATTCCTGCGTGATGAAACAAAATCCAAGCAAATTTTCTCCCCTCTCCTGTAAAAAAAAAAAAACTCTGCTTAGGTTAGCCGGTCTAATCACCATGGCGACGATATAGGCCTACAACAGTCACACTACTGTTATTGTGAGTTCTGTCGGTGTGCTGTGTTTTCAGAACGAGTAGAAGTAAAAGACTGACAGAGGAAATAGTGTTCACAAAGAGGGGAGGGAGAGGGTATTCAATTGTTTTTTTAACTCAATGATTATACAGGCCCAAGGGCTAGAACCCAGATGGCCGCTGGATCGGAAAAGTAAAGTAATTAAATTATTATACATCAAATCTAATAAAAAGCTGCTATATTATGAAAGTGCTTATTTCTTCACATTAAACAAATTTTTTTTTAGCCCGCCCTTTTACACAAATCATGAATTATGTTTCGTTTCTTCAAAATGAGAAAAACAGCTGTAATTTATTGTAAAACTCGTCAACAAAACAACAAGAATCCTGTGATAGTGCAACGTTGAGTACGGTGAAGGAGGTAACAGTGCAATGATACATGAAGGAAATTTGAGAACATTCATTTATAATATATATAAAGACCAAGAACACTTCACAACTCTGCTCAAAAAGATACTTATATAACAATCATGGGTTTTGGAAAATAAGGTTCGAAGAAAAATATGTTCAGAAAACATTACTATTGCAGATTCAAAACATTCCCTTAAAGGAAAAAAGGTCATAAAAATAAAATAAATCGAATGAAAACAAAAAAAATCAATGAAAATGAACAACTCAACAATGAGTAAACTCCTGAAAATTCAGCCAGGACACAAACTGCCAAATATTTAGGACGTAAACTGCCAACCCTGTTGCTATTCCAGCTCAGAGTCCGTGAGTGACACGTAAGGGCAGTCTCAAATGCATACTATACAGTAATACTAATACTCAGAAAAACACAGCTGAGACTTTAAAATAATACAATAATACAGGGGGGGAAGGGTAAGAGAGGAGAGCACAACCTGATTCTCAGAATAACATAAGAACCAGGACTATTTATTTTAGTTCCACTGGACTTGCTTTTTTAATTCTAGAGAGATACATCTCACAGAACCTGGTGAAAAACACAGAAGGATATGAGTAGAGGGAGACCTAACAATGACACTGAAACTGAAAGAGATCAAAAGCCCTTTTCTCTCTTTAATCAAAAACCATTTTGAATCGACAACGAAAGAGGGCTAAGCGCTTAAACAATTCATTCATCTTACTATACGATACATAAGGCAACTGCTGACGAGTATCCAAGACTCAGAGCACACAGCTAAGGTGGACTGTCTGAGGACCTACATGATGTATATTATAGGGAGTCCAAAAAGTCGCGCGCCATGGAGCTCCGGCCCATTTTGCAACTCAAGTGCGTGATTACTTGATGAATGACACCTTCAAAAACAAATGGATTGGACGGAGGAGGCCTGTGGAGTGGCTACCAGGACCACCGGATCTTACTCCACTTGACTTTTTCATATGGGGGCATCTTCTAAAATTGATTGTGTACATGAAACGTCCACGCTCTCTTGACAAACTGAGACACGAAATCACAATTGAGTGTCACAACATCTATCCAGATACCCTAAGGAAAGTTAAAAACAGCTTTTTGCGGAGAGTAGAGAGTTGTATCAATGAAAATGGAGCTCAATTTGAACATCTGTAACAATAAGCGTGTTTTCGGATAGTGTGCCACAAGGATAAGTGTGTTTCAGGATGGTGCGCGACTTTTTGGACACCCTGTATATCCCTCCCCTCACAGCTAGTGACAGAGAGGACAGCCTAGCCTACGACCAAATGTTCAAAAGACAAGGAAATAAGTCAAAGTGCATGGTGGTTAACTAGGGCTGAGAAAAGAATGATGATGCTTCATTATGCCTAAGTGTAGAAGCAGAACCTACAGCTGTCAATTCTCTCAAGTTCAACAGAGAACAAAATGTGGGCTGCCATTGACATTACAGAATAATAATAGATAGCATTTGTATAGCGCAAATCCCAGCTCAACAGCAAGCTCTATGTGCTTCACAATCTATATTATTACCCCAGCAGACGTGAGAGCACTCTGACTGAAACAACTTCAACTTCCTGGGAAGCATACAGTGCAAGTGGCCATTTATAGTTACAGGCACTAAAACACTAGCATACTGATAAGATCTTGCACTTGGGTGAAGTGAGGAAAATTTGTGTAAAGTGTAATTTTCCCAAGGACACAAAGTCAGGCTCGCGGCTCGAACCCCTGAACCCGCAACCTCATGATTACGAGTTCGGTAACCTAACCACTAGGCCACCAGCGCCACATCACAGTAGTTCTCTAAAATTGCAACAAACTTGAGAACAAAAGGAGAAAGTCCTGAGTCGTGAGTCACATGATGCGTGTCACTCTATCAATTCTGACCGACAATTTACTCATCCAGTGTGTGAAATCAAAGTTGACATTAACAATCCACCTCATATTGGTAGGAAAACGTGAAATGTTTTGCACCTTTCCTGTCCATAAATAAAGACAATCATTCTGTCCTTATTAACAAATAAAGAGCAGAAATCGTTCTACTGTCCGGCTAGGCATGACATGATGATGAACTTTCCTCAAGTATTTTTAAGCAAATCACAAGTCTCTGTAACCTCTGAAACATTTGGAAGAACAGGAGGAATATTGTTTCTGCTCATCTCTGCCCTCTTCATCGCTCCTTAAATTAAGTTTCCATTTTTGGTTCCTCTGATCTTGATTTTTTAAAATTGGGGGGAGGGGGGGGGGGGAAACATCTCACCACAGATGCTGTTGCAAGCAAAGCAGAACAATACGAGTAGAGAGAGAGACTTTGGTTGATGGTTGACACTGAATGCCATCAACAGCGCTATTTTTTCTCAAATTAAAAAACATTTGAAATTTTTTTTTATGGAGGTAAAGAAACCCGACCAGGCTGGGCGTTGTGAACGGAAAACAATATCCAGGTCATCTGTGTCTGCACACACAACGCAACTACTGCCTACCAACACATGTAAAGTCTAATGATACGACAATGGTCAGTCACTATGTGAGCTGAAAATTAATTAAAAATTTTTACATCAGGACTTCAATATTCACACATTTTCCAGGCAATACACCAATACAAAAGATTTCAACCAACACTTAATATAAGATTCGTCAAATGTGAACCCCCAAACCAAACAACAAAACAAAGATGACTACAAAAGATTCCTCTGCCTCCAACACCTACACCCTACCCCTTCCCCCCATCAATGACAAAATTTAATGTACAGGATAGCAAAACAATAATATACACAAACTGTCAACAAAGAGGTCTGACTGTCTATCTTTTAAAATTCGGAAACAAAATTCATGCCGATAATACGTTTTCCTGAAAGTTAAAGAACTGAAACAAAAACTAACGTAAAAGCTGATGTAAACACTAAAAAAAGTACCAAAAGCGAAAACTGTGTCCCAAAATAACTTGTACTCAAAGTGTACCTAAAGTAATTTTCCAATCATCCAACGTCACAAAAATGATTAAAAGTAAGAAAAACTTGAACTTTTAACTGAACCCCCCTCCTCCCCCAAAAAAATTATGCAACATTCATGTGGTGTCTTCTGTTCACAAGTAGGCTACATAAAGTAAAACAATTAAAAAAAAACCAATATTCTTTTCATACAGTGTCACTATGTACACAAATGGAAGCAAAGATGCACAAACAAATCATAATGTACACGTATTCTGCCACAACAACTTCATGTCAAGTTGCTATATATCATGCAAGCTCCCCACCACACTCGCTAATCTCCAACCTGAAACTGAAAGCATAATTACGTACAAGTTAAAAAAAAACAAACCCCCCCCCCCCCCAAACCTGAAAGGGTATCTCTCCCTTTCAACACTTTCATCATCAGACCAACATCCGAACATCTTTCCTATTTTCCCATACCCAAATCTGCCAACCCCTCCATGACCAAAACTGCGAGTTTTTTTCAGAATCTTCCTTAACACTTGGAGTTTATGGTAAAAAAAAAATTCAGAGCCTCCAGAACCCCAGTAGATGAATCATGGGAAAATAAAAGAGTATTGCAAACACGAATTGAATACAATCATAAAAATGTAAACATATTCCAACCAATAATATCACAAAGCTATCTCCCGCTCAAGGAAAAAGAAAAACACTCAATGACATCCCACCCCCCCTCCAAAAAAAAAAAAAAAAAAAAAAAAAATCTCACCTAGACTCTTTCTGTGTCCCCATTCAAGTAGGCCTACTGACAATTTTACAAAAACTATAACACATTTACAAACAGAAACAGATCTGTTTTACGTATAGACTACAATGACTAGATTGACTGTGCCCTTCAGTGGTAAGACCTGGCAATATAACCCCCATATGAAGCTTTCCTTTTTCTGAGTGTCACTTTAGTCACAGCACATGAAAGTTTGCTTCTTCTACTAAAGAGTACATCTGAAAAGGATACTGCCTCATTCAACTTCTTCCTCACTTCATTTCTTTTTCTTGATACATTTACTTTTCTATTTGTCATATAAATTTTGTAAATAATCTTTAGAATCAAAATATTCAAAATACGATGTAAATTCAAGTATTTTATTTACACATTTATAAAATTTAAAACATAAATCTAAGGAAACAAAACAAAACAACCCAGGCATTTGTACCAACTTTGGACAGAGTCACGACAAAGGTCAGGTACTCTCAAACAACAGTATAAGCAAATCATTAATGGGAAGTCAACAATAATCACATACTTCTCTGTAAAAAGACAACCCCCCCCCCCCACACCCCCTCACAAAAAACAAAAAACAGAAAAAAACCCCGAAACAACCAACCAACAAACAACCACATCGTGTGCGTACAACTCTCACAATTCCCCTTTCACCCTGACTCATCACTCACATCCTCCTTCCTGTCCTCTCTCCCTCCATGCTAGACACAAAAGTCTCCCCAGCCATCTCATCCATGGCTTTCTACTCTCTCGGACAAATTTCTCCATCCAACCAACCAACCGTCAGCACACAACATTCTCATCATCTCAAAGAATCCTCGTCAATCTCTTGAGCATACAAATCTTCTGACTCGTACTTGAGGTCTTCCATGGCATCTGTAATCTCTTGCGCTAACTCTTCCAGCCTGAAATAAAAAGAAGCAGCAGCCCTTAAACTAAGAAGCATTTTTCTTTACAACTTTACACATTAAATATTGTAATTTTAATGAGAGAACAAACTATATCAGATCAGCAGAAAAAGAAGATAGAAGACTGCTCCTACAACTCCTTGTTCTCTTCTTCAGACACACTATACACAGCCAGAGTACCGGTAGTCTTTTTGCTCTTTTGCATTTCTCCTAACCAGCATAAATTTGTGTACATTTTTTTGTCCTCATTCATGAAAAGTGGCAAGAAAATTGTAAACATTTATTACTTAGAAAGTCAGCTTACTTCAAATAGAGTTTTGCAGTTTGTAATCAGCTTTGGATTTTCATGACCATCCAAAAAAACATTTGCTAAACTTGGGAATTTACAAGTTTTGTTTAGAATTAGGAAGCAAATGTTATAAACCAAAATGATCAGTATACCGACACATCTGATGATTTCAGCATCATCTTACATTTCCCACGCCAAACACACCACAAAATATAAAATAAACCTGATTGATACGACATATCTTACTTTTGGCGCAGGTTAGTGATCTCCTGTCTAGTTCCCTCATCCTCTGGCTCGTCAGCTGCGTTTTTCCTTGCAATTTGGTAGTCAGCAGTCTGAGGGCAAACATTGGTCTGTTCAAAAGTTTCATTTTGGCAAATATTTGTCATAGTATCAAGAACAGCACGGCAATAGAGTTTCAGTATATTGTACCACATCAACTCAAAAACGGTCACTTGGTGCTAGGAAAGAAGTAAGACTGACAACAGGAACAACAGAGCCAAGAGTTCAGAACAGGAACTTTTCCATCCCCAAAACACAAACTCACAGCAACCTAGAGGACAACAAACTGTAAAAGACGAAGTGAGACACACAAATCTGAAATGATCCAAATAACAATTATCAGAGATCTTAAACTTTCAGTCACTCTAAAATCAGTCCAATATTTCACGTTTTCACCAACTCAGTTTCCAAAGGGATAAAAAATCATTGCAGCCAGCTACAGTATAGCACGGATAGGTTGAACACAGAAGACTCGAAATCACGCACCCGCTGAACTGTGCTTGCATTCCCATTTTTTTCTTCTTCTTAATCTTTGTAAGATATCCTTCAAACTACCGAGGCTGGTCTCGACAAATTTGGGCCATCCGTGTTATATTGTACACAGCAAATGGCCACCAAGCACACTCTATTTTTGTTGATAAAAAAACGGAGTAAGTACACCAAACTGCCGATATTCAAAACCAATTTGTATTCTCCGGTACGGAGACCATGGCCGTAAAACAGGTCCAAAAATTGGTAAATACCAGAAAAACGGGAGCAATAGGCTGCCTTGCAACATCAATTTGAAAAATAAAATAAGTAATCCCCTGCCCCCCCCCCCCAAAAAAAAAGAGCAATGGCAGACAAAACACTCACACTCTTCAGCTTCGTTTCTTCCAACTCTTGAACTTTGTCGATGAGTGCAGAAATTTCCTCCTTGTTGTGTGTGTCTTTCAAAGAGTTTTTGATGTGGATGATTTCCTCCGAGATTCTCTTGAAGGAAATGGTGATTTCAGCAACCCTCTGTTTGTACCCGCTGAAGTCGTACTCGGGCGCTCCTCCGATAAAGTTGTTGAACGCTCTGAGGAGAAGAAGCCATCAACTGTGTTATCGGTTCAAATATGTCTCACAGTTTAAGAAAAGTCTAAAAGAACACATTAGTTCAATACTCTCCTCTACCAGCAAATTTTGTGATAACGTGTGTGAGTTTGGGAGTTGTGAATGTTTTGGTAAATGGTCTCATAAAGTGCATTTTCTGTCTTTGATTTGTCAGTTAAGTTTAGCAATAAATCTGCATTGTACAGTGCTTACAGCCTTCTATGGATCTGGCGCAATATGTAAATTCCGATTACAGACCTGCCACTCTATGAAACCCCAAAATCAGGATCTCAGGGAGAAAAAAATCGGGATCAACAGCAAATCACTAAGGTGACTGCCACAGCTGACCTAAAATTTTTCCAGGGGTGTCCATAAATTCCTTGGCCTAGATCTATATGTCCTCTGGGTGTCTTTGTTTGTTTGCGTGCGGGTGTGTGTGTGTGTGTGTGTGTGTGTGCGTGCGTGCGTGCGTGCGAGTTATCATTATTTTTGGTAAATCCTGAAGCATCGCGTCAAGCACTCCTAGTCCAAGTGTCTACACCCCCCCCCCCCTACCGATAAGTCCCGAAATACATGAACTAAAGTTGACCCCGTCAACTGACGGTTCCCGACACGCAGAACTCAAACGGCGATGATATGTCACGTGACGCGAATGCGCAATTGAAACAATTTTACTAACGGGTCCAATTAACTGCACGTTCACACAAAACACTCTGATGAGTAACAGTCGTTCTACTTCTAGAAAAACGACGGCGGCCGACCGACCAAATGTACCAACAAATCTCATGTGTTCAGACTAAAGAAACGACAATGGCCTTATGTTAGTCTTGTCAGCGCAGTTATATGTAGTTGTGTGAGGGTTAGAGAAAGACTGTCACTCTTCCTAGTGTTTGATGTGAACGCGCTGTTACCAGACCTCGGACAAGGCTTTTTTAAAAAAGTAACAGCGGAACTACGAATATTATCAATTATTAAACGTCCCAAATTGTAACAGTTACAAGACTATCATCGGAGAATTCTGAGTGCGGGAAAAGATCACACACAACTTGGGGCTAGTCAACTACTAAATGCAGCATCGATATTTCGGGAAATAGTGCTCGGAGTTCCTACTGACAAAAAGTTCGACGGGTGCTTCCCGCGATAAAGGAGAAGGCAGAGTAAGTTTTTAGAAAAATCCGGCACAACAGCAGACTGGGACAAAAAATCGGGATACACACGATCGAAATCGGGAAAATCGGGAGGATTGAGATTTGGGGCAAAAAATCTGGATATCCCGACTAAATCGGGATGAGTGGCAGGTCTGCGATTATTATTAGTAGTATTATTATCATTAAACCGAGACAGTTTTCTCCACTCAACAATGTCAGAGCGCTACTATCTCTGTACTGACCCTTTCCCCGGATGTGGGAGACATCAACATCTCAGAAAACCAAGCTTAACATAAACTGACCAATTAGAAAAATATATGTGTCACGGTGCTGTGGAATCAGGCGCTCGTCAATTTTTCGGCCTATGGATTTATTGGCATCATCTAAAAGCTTATTCATTTGCCTTGCTTTCAATAAAAAAAAAAAATACCCAAGTATCTTGAATAAAAGTCGAAATATTTGCCATTGAATGGGGTAGGATCGCCTGGTTTCAGAAGTAAAAAAAGCGGGAGAATGACTGCCAAAGGTTGGTGACTTTCAAAGCTTGAGAGTCCTTGGAAACTAAATTTAAATTATGTGTGCCTTAAATCAACAATTTTCAGTTAAATCCACACAGCAATGTGTTTTAAAATTGACATAAAAGGTGTTGAGGCAAAAAATATTTTTAAAAATAGAAATTGCCTAACAAAAATAAAAATGCCATTTTCTTTGAACTCATTATTTTGACAATTTTGTGCTCGATTTCACCACCATGCCTCACATACATATCTCCTGCTATGTTTCTATAATTTATTCCTAGAAAGCCCAAGATGCATAAAACATGATAGATTAGAATGCTCTTTAAAAAAAAGCATAAAAACTCATCAACAATCGTACTGGATCCACTTTTTATGCATAACAAATCATCTCTTCAGGACACAATAAAGAAAAAAGACAATTGATTTCAGCTTCGCCTTGTAATGGCTAAGAACAGAGCTGAACAAAAAAGATAACAATCAAGTCTCATAAAATCTTTGAAAAGTAATATATATACACAGACCTGCCACTCTTTGAAATCTAAAAATCTGTATCTCAAGGGGAAAAAAATTGGGATTTGATGACAAAAATCGGGATCAAGGACAAATCACCAAGGAGACTGCCAAGCTGACTAAAAACTTTCTTGAGGTGTCCATAAATATTTCCATGAATACGCCCTATGTGTCTGTGTGTGCGCATGCGTGTCTTTTATTATTTTTTAAATCCAGAAGTATCATGTCAAGCACACCCAGTTCAAGTGTCTAACGCCCCCCCCCCTAAAGTCCCAAAAGACACTTCAACCAGTGTTCATGAACTTAAGTTGACCCTGCCAACAGGCAGAATGCAGAACTCCCATACCGAAGTAATGTCATGTGATGCGAACGTGCGACTGCAACAATTTTACTGACGGGTCTTGATGACGAGCCAAACTAATCAGAACTCAGACAAAGCTTGTTTTGGAAGTAACAGCAGAACTACGAATAATCATTATGTCGATATTGAAACAGTTAGCAGGCCATCATCAGCGAATTCTGAGTGGAAACAGAAACTAAAGTAGATCTGGAGAATTTCCAAGTCGGAATGCCAAATCGATACAACTTCCATTGTAGTTAAAAAATAATAACATGTGCGAGGAAAGCTCCAACACAACTTGGGGTGAGTCAACTACTAAATCAGGCATCAATATTTCGGAAAATAGTGCTCCGAGTTGATGCTGACATAAAGTTTAACTGGTGCTTCCCGAGACAGAGAAAAAGGCAGAGTAAGTTTTTAGAAAAATCTGACGCAACGGATGGAACAAAAAAATCGGTGTACACAGGATTGAAATCGTGAAAATCGGGATGCTTGAGGTTTGGGGGAAAAAATAGGGATATCCAGATTAAACGTGGATGAGTGGTAGGTCTGATATAATATATATATATATATATATATATATAAAAAAACCTTTTCAGCCCCACAATACCCAGGAATACTCTTAATCCTAACAAAAGCCCAAGACAGTTAAACAAATTAAACACATTTTTCAGTGACTTACTCTTCAAACAGGTCATAGCCAGCCACTCGCTCGGCTTGAAGTTTGTGAAATCTCCGCAACATGTCAAGGGGGCTGGCGTGACCGTTGGAATGCTTTGGGCTCCCATTTGGGTCTCCAGCAGGACAATTTGCACTGGCCATCTTGAAGACGTACAAAAGGCTACGTAAGCTGAGTGGATCAACACCTGAGGAGAAAAACAATGCAGATTTGCATAATTTAATATGACGACATTTATTCAAATGTATGTTCAACTTATAGAGGTCACAGCTCTACTGGAGTCCTTTGAAAAGAAAATTTTAAAACATGGGGCACAAAATCAGTTTCAACATATTTCACAGGTAACAAATAAAAATAATATAATAAAAATAGAAACAAAGAAAACTCATAAATTTACAACATACAGGAAACTGCAAAAATAAGACACAAATTTTGTCTCAATGGCAAAATATCCAGCAAGCAGTGTGTCCCAGATTTCAATAGTTCCACCCAAAAACACAACACTGTACAATTCAATTTCACTCAAAACTTTCAGCTTCTATTAGTCCAAGCCCATATTTCAAAATTTGGTTCTCCTAAAAATTGTAAAACAACCAAATTCTGTAGATTGATAACATTCTACCCACAGTTTTAACTTTTGAACTCATCTGAACAGACCAGTCACTGACCCTCTTGTTTCAGGGATAACCCATTTAGACACAGTGTAGTAGCTTTACAGCATCATGTTCATCACTGTTCGTGTCCGAATAGTCACAGTCAGGGTTGTCAGTTTGGAGTCAAATCCCAGAAATTAGCATGTCTGGCCCGAAGAATTTTATTTGTCTCTCTACTGGTTCTCTTTTGGCTCCAAACTCCAATTGTTCAAGAAGAAAGGGAAAGAAGAGGCAAGAAAAAAAGGAAAAAAATGAAAGTGAAGAAAAGAGCTTGGATTGCTTAATTATTATTAAACTAAGTAACACGATTTAACGCCTTCGCCCATTTGGTCTGAACAAGTTTCAACCCTTCTACTGCCGAGCAAGAGGATTTATTGTCTGGTGCTTGTGTCTCGTTATCTTTGTACACACTCTGTTCCTTGAACCATAATTCATTGTGTACAGGCAAAGAGTGAGAGACCTGCCATCGTTAAGTGTGTAAACAATTAATGGTCCTGCCCGCAGGCGGTCCCACATCCCGCTCGAAGTAGCATCGGAAGTGAACCTTTTTTTATTTTTGCATAATTATTATTAGGCCTATGCGTTTCCAACCACATGCGGTAAGCCACCAAGGGCCTAGGTGATTTTATCAGCCTGCGAGAGGTCAGGGGGGAGTCCTCGCCTCATGCCCACACCGGGGCGGGAGCTATTCTCACCGGGGGGGGGGGGGGGGGGGGGCAGTGGTGAGAATAAAGGTGGCCTAGTTAGAAAGGAAAGCCTAAAACCTCCTACAATAAGATAGAAGGTCACACTTCTACTTCTATCATGAACCATGGAACTACTCATCATCACATTGTTTCTTTACTTAGTTCATAGAGATCTAGATCTGGAGTCTAGATCTAGAATCTACATCTAGAATCTAGTCATTAGCACAGTAATCACAGCAGCAAGTTGATGAGTAGCCTAGGCTAAGTAGAGATGTAGATATCGAGATCTAGATCTAGATCTAGATTCTATATCTAGATCTAGCTAGATCTAGATCTAGATCTAGATATAGAGCAGAAGTAGTCCTAGCAGAAGAAAAATTAAAGACGCAAAAAGGGGACTTGCTCTGTACTCTTAGACTAGAACGTCAGAATAAGGGATACTATCAACACTAGAGTATAGGTTTCACTTTTACACAGTTCATAATATTTAGCATGCACACACCAATATTGAGTTTGATTGAACCCGATTTTGTCACTGAGTTTTGATCACTTTGGACTTGGATTTATAAACATAGAGTAGTATAGAGTCTAGCCCCCAATGAGGGATTCAACTTTTACTCAGTATAAAATAATACACATTGGCCAAAACAATCACAGGTAATGGACCTTAGCAAAATTCATATATTACCTTTAGAATAAGCCTATATCACGGGTAAAACGAAACAGAATCTTAAAATAATATTCAAGAACGAAGAACACAATCCATGATCATGTTCGAGGAATATGCACCATTATCAAGTTTAAAATGAGGAAGTAGAATCTAACGGAGTAAAATTTCACTGTTGCGAGAATTCCCCTAAAATGAGGTTAAAATCTTTCAATACAAATTTTAAAATTTAAAAATCTTATTAAGTTATTTATTTGTCATATTTTAAAGTTAGAAATGAAATTATTTCTATTTTTTTATACCTTTTGTTTTGGTTGTTTTCCACGATAAGAAATGTTTTTAAAAACATATCTAAAGTTTGCTTTTCTAAAGTGTTGCAGGAGTCAGCATTAAAAAAACTTTGTATTTTCATTCATTCAGCATTCATTCAGCATTGTTGTGTTTCACAGCCCGTATTTATAACACTGTCACACTAATGTCAATTCTCTGCTGTTTGGCCTACCAATTCTCAACAATTCATCCCATGTGTTTGGGCTAAATCTTAAACAGCACAGGCTTCTAAGCTCAGTTTTTCACGATGTTTCACACTGCTCTGAGTACTTCATTATGGATGGGTGACGTAAGTTCAGTTCGAGATCGTTAAACTAAACTTAAACTAAACAAAGTTAAAATAAGTAAATAATAAAAAAAAAATTGTGTGCCCCGTGAAAGGTCTCAGTTGTCGGAAATTTAGGATATTGAATTAAGGTAATTTTATTTTAGCAAGTGATAAGTGGCTAGAATCCATCCTCCGGCCTCGCACTATAGATCGATGGCTACTATATTCCCCGGCGTCACATAGAGTTGCATGTCGCTTCTCCACAGCTTTCCGTCTCTCCTGTGGCACCTTGTGGCCTTACACAAACACTCATCAGGGTCGGCATTTCTTCAGAATGCAATTCACTGTTGTCTGTGTCCGAGGTGACAGCACCAGAGAAGCGCCAACAACCTTCAATCCCAACCAGAAGTACAAGACGGCCCATCTGGCATCTGGCTCTAATCTCAATTGCAACAGTGTGGCCATAACATGCCGACAGGGGAGATGGAAATTAGCTATGGAGAAGTGACATGTGCAACTATATATGGCACTGGAGAAAAGCCATCGATCTATTGATGGTGCGATGCTGGAGAATAGCCACTTGTGTTATTTTATTGTAGCAAATTCAATGCTGAACACACTTATTTTTTAGTTCTTTGAATATTTTGAGTAGTTTTAAAGATATATATGCCACATTTTGTAACTCAGGGTATAAAAACAGAGTTTGGAGAGAAACCCAATTTCTAGTGCACATTTTGAACCTTTGGTAAAATTAATACAAAATCCCGCAAAAAATAATTAAACAAATATTAAGACTCAAAATGTTATAAAATTCTTTCGATATGTTTTTAAGAAGGTTAAAAATGTGTTTTCTGATGGAACTTCTTGCCTTTTCACACCAATGCTCAAAATACGCTTTGCCGACAACGGGGACCTTTCTCCAGACACACACACACAAATATTCTCACTTTCACTTTCTATTAGAAATCTTTGTCTAACTGTACTGTACTGTACTCTGCCTCAGCAGTTTGCATAGTCTAGAAATAGTAGCATGGCACTTTTTGCCGCTCAGTAATTTTATTCACTTTCATTTTTCCTGGATTCGAGTAATGAGGTAAGTGGTAAGGGTTCTAAGGCATACAGACTAGAGGGATAAGGTTAGGCAAGGGAGCTTAAGGTCAAACCTAACCCTCCTAACAATTAATCTACCGTAAACCACTTTCAAAGCTGTACGTTGTCATTGGAAACCAGCAAATATGAAAAGAACAAGCAGATCTGGAAGATTGTCATACTCTGTCCCCAAGAGCCTACAGACTGAACAAAGCTTGCCTACTTCTCCTGATCTCGTATGATGTTACAAGTGATAATTTATAATGCCAGCCAGTGTCTGTGACTTTATTATGGTGATCATACAATGTTAAAACACCACAAAAAAGGGATTCTAGTTCATGAATGACATAATCTGTGGTTTTACTAAGAAAAACTGATTATTCATGGATCTCGATGAAGTTTGGCGCTTATTTATTGCTCTTTTCTGGTTGATTCTTATCTCTGTTTACATTAATTCTATCTTTACAATTGTCTCAAACCATAATTTTTGAGAATTAATATTTAATTTTCATTTGAACTAGATCTATATTATTGCCAATGTGGATTGCACATGCGGATATTCTCTACACTTAATGTGCAGCTCTACTGTACACAAGGTTTTATTGCATGCTTTGTTTAGTGCGTTTGTCCATTTCGTTTTGAATTCGTGATTTGAGTCACCCTGTGTCTTGTGTTTCGATGTAGGGAAGTATGTGATTTACTATGTTCGATAATTTACCTAAAAGTATTCACATCATCATCATGTTGACATACCCTATGTATAATACATTATTCAAATAAGTTAATAATTTTTATACTCTCTTTTCTCCAACAGCTGGATGAAGATTTGGATGAGCAGTCAATCATCAATGCCTTCGCACAGTTTGGAGAAGCTGTGGTTACTGTAAAACTGGTCAAGAAAAACAAAAGCGGGTCAAGTTCCAAGTATGTTCACTATCCACTTTATTTAGTTCTCAATTTTGTGAAAATTGCCGTGTGGATTTATTAGAATTCATAATGAATGTGGGGTTAATTGTTGTGCATGTTTTGTGTTGCTCTTGGAAAGTACTTCTTGTGCTTCTTTTACTTCATCTTTCTTTGCCAATGTAAATTGTTTTTTAATGGTATAAATCCTATTCTACTACATGTAAGACATGGTATTATAGTACAACTTTCAATGTTTGCTCCAGGACTACTGTACAACGTGATAATCCTGGCATTGCATTTGCACTTGGTAATGTTTTTGTTCCGACCTCTCATTTCATCCAGTATCATGTAAATTCTTGTTCGAGTACATTGATAATATCTCTGGACTTTGCCCAAAAGAAGAGGGAGTTTATCAAAAGTTTCTTCCAAAAATTCCCAATCCCTGTCAAATGATGATTTTAAGTGTGGTGTTTCATACAGTAAATTTGTATCAAAGGCTTGGACGGAGAATTTTTATTTGCTTATATTCTTATTCAATCTCTTCCTTTAACAAACAGGGATTATCTTTTTCGGGTTCTTTTCCTTTTATTTCTATTATTTTCAGAAGAAAAAGTCTAAATGAAACTATTCTAATTTTTAAAAATGTTTTAATTTAACCTCAATTTTTTTTTTGATTGCCAGTGCTACTTTATAAATTTTTAGATATTTTCACAAAATACTAATGGCATCCCTGAACAAAAATAATCAAACATCAACTCTGTCTTTTGTACTTTTCTAGTTTATGTACTGCTTTATGTTCCAGCTCAAAGCCAAGTAATTACTGCTTTGTGGAGCTGAGCGATGTGGACACAGCACAGAGGGTATTGCACAGGCTGAACGGAAAGTACATCCCAGGACATTCTGGGGTATGTGAGCATCTGTGAAGTTTTCACTGTAGTTGTAGACTCGTTTTGGTGCTGGTTTAGTGGCTGGTCCACTGTGATACGGCTGTCTCCTAGTAAGTCCAGCCTGATCACCCATGGTTTACTGCACTGCGTAGGTCCCACCTGATTAATTATGCTAATGACAGCGTTGGGGGCATTTAGTAGATCAAATACAGTGGCACTTACAAATAATGTGATGTGTGGTAGGGTGGATTGCTTCATTTTGCTGTTTCATTTAGATTGAAATATTTTGTGGTGGTACAGATTACGATTGAAAGTAAGTGAAGCAATATAAGTGACCAGATGGGACTTTTTAAAAAGAACACAACTTTCCACCCACACACTCACAAAAGCATTTAGAAATATCGCGGTGGACCATCAACTAAACCAGTTGTCAGACCAGTCTGATAGGCCGGTAACTAGATCAGTTGTCAGATCAGTCTGGTAACTAAACCAGAAACATCACATTGGATCGGCAACTAAACCAGCACCCTCATCTTCTTGTTAGTATGTTTATGCTTTGTTCTCTGCTCGTGAATAATGGAATGGTACCCATCCTTTTATCAGTTTATTGTTTGTACTCATGAATAATTTTTCGTCTAGATATGTATTGTTGAAGCCTTTGAATTGATTTGTGGTACACAGGTGGGGTATGTGAGCATCTGTGAAGTTTTCACTGTAGGTGGGATACATATAGCTGAAAAGAAAAGTATTGTTTACATTCCACGTACAAGTTCAGCAGTAGTGTACTGTAACTGTGTAAAGAACTTTTATAGGTGGTTGGAGGTTGCCACTGGTAGGTCCGACTTCTTTTCTTTCCCTCTGCTGTTTCTGTCTTGCTTTTTCCCTACACCATATGACTGTTATTGTGTCGATGTGCTACTCTTTCCAACTCAAATGAACTTTTTTTGTAATGCTGTCTTCGAAATACTGGACTGTTACATTTGAAAGCTGTTGGGTCTTTGTCATATTTTTTTTCCACCTTTGATCAACAGTTGTGGAAATTATGGATTTATATGGTCTCTTCAAGAGTTTGATGCAGTGGCATAGACCATTCCAAATCAACAAAGGGATGTTTCCTTGTTACTGACAGGTCATCTTTGATAACTTAGGGATGAGAGAATTGCTTGTGAATACAGAAAAGTCTGTATTGTATTCATGGAGAATAATTTGCTTTGAATTTTTATTCACAGAAACGCTTCAAGCTAAATCCTGCCAGCTATGGACGAGAACATGAACTTTTGTAAGTTTTATGAGATCGTGAAAGTTTTAGAAGAAATGTTTGAAAACTTGCACGATGTGCATTTGCAAGTTGTTACATGTGAACATATGATCTTTCCCTCCTTTTCCTATCCCAGCCTTGTCTCTTTTGAAAATACTTCTGGCTTCCCTTCCCTGTCATGCATTATATCCTTGTGGGTGACATAGCTTTTAGTTCTCATTTTGTTGTTTCAAGTTTCATTGTATTATGTGGCGCCGGTAGTCAGTGACTACCCCCTGGGGCGGTGCTACTGACTGTAGTGTCTTTAGGCCATTCCCAAAGGGGGGACATTTCTCGTTCAAGCACAGTAAAATTGTAAATGGGCTGATTCATCATGTCACGCTTTTAACTGTGCCTGATCTACAACAGGGAACTACTGCTTTTTCTTTCCTAATCCTTACTGTTGTCATTTTCCTCTACTTCTTTTGTATGTTTGTCACACTTGTGACCTGCTATTTCCGGGGTGCCTTGATAGTCGAAGCAGACCTTGTGCTGTTGAAGCTAGAGAGGTGAGCAGAGTAAGTCTGATTCCCTGTAAAGACTTCTCTGTTGACACCCACCCCTTGGCGCTCATATGACCTTATGCAGTTGCGAGCGCCGTAAAACCCTCTACTAAAAAAACAAAAAACAAAAAACTAGTCAGTGACTGGGCTGTCGGACTTGTTTTTGTCAGGTTGTGGTTTTTGGAGTTTGAGGCTCAGCTTGGTCCGACGTTGTGTCCTTTGGAAAGGCACTTTATACAAATTTTCCTCACTTCGCCCACATGTGAATGGGTACCTGGCTATTAAAACGGAAAGATCTTGTCAGTACAGTATTGTTTTAGCACTTGTAAAGAAGCAGCTTGCACTGTATGCTTTACCAGGAAGTTGAGACTGTTTTGGTATGTTATCATGTCTGCTGGGGTAATCACATAGATTGTAAAGCAGATAAAGTTTGCTGTTGAGCAGGAACTTATGCAGATACAAAAGCTATTTATTGTTATTGTAATTATTATTATCACCATTTGTTCCAAAATTATCAAAATTCATTTAACTAGATTTATTTGTGCTAGATATGACTTGAACACAAACAGTAGAGGTTCGGCCTCAGTGTGTCAGTGTCAAGGTTTTCAGGCAGTTCTGTTTTTATAATACGAATACAGTCGAACCTGCTCTTACAGCCACCTGTATAAGACTATCACCTGTAGAAATGGCCACTTCCCATTTCCCCAATCCCTTGCATTTTTAAAAAAACATTATAATGACATTGTCTAAGACAGCCGCTTTTCTTAACAATAGGTGGCCATCCTAGACAGTTTTGACTGTGTATAACGTTTACACAGCCCTCAACCTGAAGTAAAGAACTTACTTAGGCTCAAAGCGCTTTATAAATACAAGTAGCAACTCATAAACAGTATATTATGTTCTGATTAAAACTTATCTCAGTACTGAAAGGCTGTTTTAAAAAGAAAATTTGGGAAGGGGGGGGGGTCTTTTTTTCCTGTTCCCCTGAATTCCTACATGACATTTATTGATCCCTTTTTTCTTTTTTCTCCTTTTGTCTCCTTCTTCGTGGATGGTTGGTGGGTGTCTAGTGTGATTTGCTCCTTCTTTTGCTACATATCTGTTGTCCTTATATCTCCTTCTTTTTTGTGTTTGTTACTCCCTTGTAACACTTTTAATCTTAAGAACTTATATGACCTAGTTGTGTTTTGCAAAAACAAATCTTCTTTTTCCAGGCCGGAGTTTTCGTTGTATGTTGGTGACCTGTCCTGGGATATTGACGACTACGAACTGTTCGCTTTCTTCCAGAAGAGGTACAAGTCTGTGCGAGGGGCCAAAGGTGGGTGGATTACCGTAAACAGAAATGTTTTACACAAAAGTCACTTTCTCCTCTACTGGTTTGTTTGTGTGAAAGTGCCAAAAAAAGTTCATTGGAACATTTTTTGAAAGTGCCCAGTACCAAAAAGTTAATTGAAACATTGTTTGGAAGTGCTAAAAAAGCTCTTTGGAACATTGTTTGAAAATACCAAAAAAGTTAATTTGAACATTGTTTGAAAGTAACAAAAAATTTCATGGGAACATTTTGTGGAAGGGCTAAAAATATTCATTGGCACATTGTATGTGTGAAAGTGCCAGAAAAAGCTCACTGGTACAATGGCAGTCGTTCAAAGAAAGAAAGCCAATAACAGACAGAAATAATAGATGAGAAAGAAATGGGGCTGACCAAGGCCTGCTTCAAACCTGCTACCCTCTTTACAGGGTCATTCAGGAGGCAGGCTGCTTTCACCCTACCTGTCGGAGTCAACCGAGTCTGACTGAGATACAGCGTCCCAGAAAACAGGCACAGATACTCGATATGATAACTTCCCCACTTACAAATGCAGCTCATATTGTATTTTTGGTGCCACAGCGAAGAGCAATTACACCACAGATGCCAGTCAGTAAGAGGAAACTCACCTCTGTAACTTCTGTCAAAAGTAAAATTAATCAAGCACAAGTTGTGTTAACAGACATGAATCTATTCATGTTTTGGTAGGCTATCTCTTCAAAGGATTTTGTCTGTTGGTGTTAGCTGGTGTGACAAGAAACTTTCCACCATCCTTTTGATTGCCCTTTTTTAGCCAGTCTCTTATTCATACTCAAATGTGTGTTTTTTGGTATCATGTTGAGCTATTTCACAAGGCTTCCAGTTAACTTGTCACACTGTGAAGTTGTCACATACCTCCAGTGATCTCATCACATACTCAAACTTGTAAAAAACGTGTGGCGAGTTCACAGTGGATTGGGAGGCAAACCCACACATGTCCACCTTTAATTAATAATTAATATTTTTAAAATACAAAACCAGAGTTTATTCAATCGAAATGTACACGTGTCAATTTTTCTGTTTCAACATTTTAAAGAGAAAACAGACAAACAGGTGCAATATATTAAACCTGTAAAAAATTTGCATGTCCTTACTGTATGCAATAAAGCAAATCTAAAATGGCACAAGATAGCAGGTGTGGTGCAGGTGGTGTGACGAGTTCACTGTTACTTGGATACTTTTTTTTTTTGGTGAACTCGTCGCACGTTTTTCAGCTGTGTCGACTTCACCGTGTGACGAGTTCACTGGTTCCCTTTCACAAATGACCATGGTTCAAATCCCCAATGGGTTGTTTGAGGAGCATTCAAATCTCTCCGCCTACTGGGCTCGGTTCTATCAGAGATATACGTTCACTTCAAAGTCCGTCCTTTTTAGTGCTCTTACAGTTTTGAAAAAGGTGTGAAACTTTTACATTTATGAATGATAATGTCTCTCCCTCAGTTGTGAATGATCAGGCTGGGAAGAGCAAAGGCTACGGTTTTATTCGCTTCTCGGAGGAAATGGATCAACAGAGAGCTCTCATAGAGATGCAGCATATGACTGGCCTTGGCCGCAGGCCCATCAAAGTCAGTTTAGCATCGATCAAAAGGTAACAGATACAGCGTATGTGTTTGTTTGTTTGAGAAATGAGAAGCAGTCATTTCAGTGCCCAGAAAAAGGAAGACGGAAAGACAGAAATTGTAGAGGAACAGTGGAGAAGTAAGACCTATCAGTAGCACCCTCCAACCAATTGCAATCAATGTGTGGACTGCACTTGTTATTTTTCAACCTGTATTTGGAATCAGTATCTTTGGACGGTGATCTTCATACTTTTTACATCATGTGTACGTTTCAATCCTGAGCCACTTTTCTTTATTTCAGCCAAAATACTTGAGAATATCAGGGTTAAAATGTGTACATGATGTAGTGATGCAGCATACAATTGGCCTTAGCCG